ACAATGCGGCCGCCATCTTGAAAATAGACTTTATTACCAATGTGGCCGCCATCTTGAAAATAGACTTTATTGCCAATGCGGCCGCCATCTTGAAAATAGATTTTACTAACAATGCGGCCGCCATATTGAAAACAGACTTTATTACTAATGCGGCCGCCATCTTGAAAATAGACTTTATTACCAATGCGGCCGCCATCTTGAAAATAGACTTTTCTATCAATGTGGCCGCCATCTTGAAAATAGACTTTATTAACAATGCGGCCGCCATCTTGAAAATAGACTTTATTAGCAATGTGGCCGTCAATGTGGCCGCCATCTTGAAAATAGGGCTTTATTACCAAAGCGGCCGCCATCTTGAAAATAGACTTTTCTATCAATGTGGCCGCCATCTTGAATACACTTTATTGCCAACACTGCCGCCATCTTGAAAATAGACTGTAGTACCAATGCGGACGGCATCTTGGATACAGCACTAAAAGTGACATTTATCGAATACACGGCTTTGAAAATGCCATGATAATCAATGTTGTACCATAAAATGCGAAAACATCAAAACGCGTAACACATTGGAATGTCTAGAAACATAGTAAGTCAGTATGTACGGAACAATATTCAAATAAGAAGCTCAAAATTGTCATGTTCCTGTACCATTTTGTATAAAAATGTGTACTTTAGCTGTCTGGACACTGTGTTTTCATAATTTAAGATGCCATTCGTATTAGAAAAAACGTCTATCGTTGCGGGTCATTTTGCTTAGAAGTGCTCTTTCTCTCACAATGCGGGAATTTTAAAGTCCACCACTTATATTATCCTGGATGCCTTGCGAACATTTGTCGTCGTTTTGAAAAGAAGTTATTGTTTTGACTGCTTGGTTTAGCCATACAACCTCGATTTCTAGTTGCCTGTGGTGTAAGCAATACGGCCACTCAACCATCAAAAAAAATTTAACCCCTCAGCCCTCAAAAAACTTTCCCGTCACACGAAATTATGATGAGGCGCGCAAAGAATCAGTAGTAAAAATGGCCCTTTATTACAAAATACTGCACAACCAATCAGAAAACAGAAAATAGATTATCATTTTGGTCTWAATGCCATGTSTGATCGGGTGTGAATTTATCAGCAACACACAGAGCAAAGGAAAAAAATCTTCCTTTCTTTGTGAAAATAAATATTTTAAGTACCAGTCGTTAAGGCTATTACTGAGTAATGATTGAAACAGAGCACTTGAATTTAACTGTGAAAGGAAATTATATGTTTGCTTTTTTATTTTTAATTAGACAAATTTCGGCTATTTCCAATCTGACAGAAATATACCACAAAACATATTAAGTACCGCAATTTTTTTCAAATCAATCAAAAACATACACAATCGAGATGTTTGCACGTTTAGTATAAAAAATACGAACAAGAAATCATTTAAAAAGATAYCTAAAAACCGTTTAAAATCCTTTAAATACCCAYTTTAAGCTCTCTGTCGATATTAGTTTTTCTAAGAGCGTTCAGTATAGAAAATGAAAAAGCTGCTTTTTGGCATAAAAGAGGAAAGAATGTTTTAATTAATTTATCTTTTTTAAAACATAATATCCATCCATATGTCCATCCAATTTCGTATTTGGTTCGTTAAGCCGAAACCCCAGCATTTGGCAGACGTGATATATTTCTCAGACTTAATGCAAATAACACACTATTTTCCATTTTGCAATAACCGCTTCATTTGGACTATTGTTCAGCCTTAAAAGTACTAGTGAAAATTGCCACTTCACAAAGCTGCGGGAGGATTTTATCCTCTTATCGTTGACATCTGTATAGATAACTTTGTTCCCGTTAAAAAAAATCGTTKTGAAATAATGATGATCTGGTTCTGTCAGCAATGACTTAGGGCATTCGAATCGTTTTTAAGCCGCAATTTGGTGAAATGAAACTACTTTTAGCGATTTTATCATCTAAGTATAACAGACAACTTTAATTACACTATCTGAGAATCTATGTTTATACAATCAAGGTCAAAATATAAACGAAAAACGAAAAGAAAAAAAAAGAAAAACAAGATCTTTCGAGAAAGCAAAACCCTTGAGCATCTCAGGAATTATGGAGCTGTCAAAGACTGCTTGTTTGCGGTCTCCGGTCGCGATATCAGAAGTAATGGAACTTATTTAATACACGTTAGAATGAAAGCAACAAAAACGTGTTTTAAGAAGCTAAAGAGACAGAAAATCAAATGGAATACAAGGATAATATGAAGTGCTCCTGAGTCCTGCTTGTAAATGTAAGCAATTAAAAACTCCGTCTGCCGGATTCAGCTGACTTCCCAAGACCGCATAGCGTGATGGGACAATAGAGGGTTCAAAAGCAGTCCCTTGTACAGCATTTCATAAACTATAAAGGGACTTCATAATTACAGTTGATGGCGCCCCTGGCAATTTTGATGTTATCAGAATTCCTGGCGTCGTTAAAAAYCGATCTCAACAGTCTCGCTTGGCTTTATATTGCTATCATTAACAATTTAGAAAGACTGGATTAGAGTATAAAAACTGTGCTATTGTGAGGCGGCGGAATTTGGCTTAAATATTCAAAAGGTGATATTGTTTCGAAGTCTCTCGTGAACGCGACTAAGCAGAACATAAATTGCTTCCGTTTGCACTGAGAACTTGGATAGCAAGACAGAAGGTTRAACTAAGGCGCTGCTCAAACATACACCAAAGRCCTCMAGTCATAAAGAACCAATTTTGGGACTCCGGRATGAATACCACATTTCAAAACAAGACAGGAATCCAAAACCATGAAACAATGCCGTCAAAAGCTGTTAAAACATTCGCTTACGCAGCTATTTTGATAGCGAGTTTATTTGGGAACACACTTTTGATACTTGCCATCAAAAGAAACATCAATGGYAGAATGCGRACTGTTAGCAATTTGTTCATCGCTAGTTTAGCGGTGTCAGACTTAATGCTRACCATATGGAGCTTCCCTGAAAGGATGACTCGAACAGTGACAGACGACGCGTGGCTGATTCCTGGCGTTGGCGGCTCGATACTCTGCAAAATTGTCAACTTTACAGAAAAGCTTTCGATCACAGTTTCGGTCCTCCATCTGGGAGCCCTTGCCTTGGAGAGATTTTTAGCTGTATTTTGCCCATACCGAACTATTATTAAAACTTATTTCGTGAAGTATATTGCCGGTTGTATATGGACGTTCAGYGCTCTGTATTGGTCTCCGATTTTATATTACGGAAAGATTATAGGCAYGGAAGAGTTRCGTTGTGAAGTCAGACGATTTGCCAAATACTGGAGACACTGGTATCTCGCGTTCATCGTAATCCTATGCGGACTAATGCTTGCAATATTGCTGTTATACTCTGCATTGGCAATCAGCTTGTGCCATCGCAGAAACTCKTCATTAAAGCTTGCTTCACAAAGAAGRAAGTCAGAGACAATTAAGARAAGAGTTGTAGCAATGGTCGGTGTTATTATAGTAGCATTCTATGTATGCTTTCTTCCGTATTGGATCGGGTGGGTTTGGTGCTCCTACTCGGGTACCATGCCTAAGGGTATATGCAACCAAACGTATAAGTTCATATCGATATTCTTATCGAACATGAGTTGTATGATGAACCCAATTATCTGTTTTACATTTATTGGGTATTTTAGATTCGCTTTCAGAGCTATACTCGAAGACCCATTCAATCGTAAACACCGACAACTTCGGCTTAGAATGCGTCGTCGAAGTTCTCAAACTGAACTCGACAGTGTAATGCCGAATTCGAAGAACTTTGGAAGAGAAGAGAATTCTCATCCGTCAGAAAAACAAACCTCGAAAGACCACGACAATTCGTTAAATAATGGAAAGATACCGCTAATTAACTCGGATCACACCACAACGGATGGAATTTTAAAACCACCAGTCAAGCAGAAAAACGAAAACACGCTGAACACAAGTGAAACTGAAGCTAGTTTCTCTTGAGAAATTCTCAAGTGAAGCTTACAGAAGATAACGTTTTTCATAACAATGATAATATCAGTACCAAACATCATAATCACATAGTAAATAAGTATATGTTGACTAGTTATGACGCGGTATAATAGGCTTGATAGTCCGATGCACAGGTACGAAATCTGCATACAATCACAAGACGGACGCTAATGAAATCTACCCAAATCATCTACAATGAGAAAATGTTATGGATTCTTAACAATAACAACATTATGAAGATAATGAAATCGAGAAACACAGTTCATCGTTGAAATTAATTCGCGGCATATAAGGATAAAAAAAGGAGTGAAAATTAAGACGTTARACACACGAAAAGGAATCAGTAAATATTTTGAAAATGATAGCAGCTTCTAATTTGGTTCATCATGTATTTTGTTTTTTCAAAAACCGTTAGATAAAAGTAGACAAAATGATCAAGATAATTCAATTTGAATAATTTTAATGGGAGTATTTGAAATAATCAAGAAAGAGAGTCCACCATAATTTATCTATACTCAAATYAAAGTAAAAAAAATTCTTTGGCACTGTAAAAATTTTGTAAGAATACAGACGTAAAGACGCTGACTTCTATGATCGCAGTAGGGAAAGATTAATTGGTTTCTTAGGCCTACAGTCTTTTCAGATAATGAAAATGTGGAGCCCCGTGCTCAAAATAAAAGTCTCTTCAATTCCATTTGGGAAAGCGCAATTAAAAAATATTTAAACCACAAAGCACTTGAAATTCTTGTCAGCTCATCCGTCTAGATATAAATATTACATGTCATAGAAATGCTGTWCAAAGAAAAAGAGAGTGAAAATCTCTAATGAAAGAAGTCATGGCATCAACCATTGACTCTAAWACACACCGAATACGAGAGGAAATAACTACTTATATGATATAATTATCTAAGATATAGAGGATATTACGTGGGCGCGCCGCGATACGAATTTTATCTCCGAGTGTTGAAAAGATCTCTCACGAAGTAAGAAAGATAAGTATTTTACGACATATTGCTTTCATATGTAATTATATGATAAACAGAATATTACATGATCGTTTGGAGATACAGATTTTATCTTCAAGTGTTGAAAATCTCCGAGTACGCTCACTCGTGAGAGATCTTTTCAACACGAGAAGATAAATTCGTATCTCCGCGCTCCCATGTAATATCCTCTATATATTTATTTTCAACAAATGAGTCATACTACTAAGAACTCAATGCTAATAAGGTAAGAAAATAATAGGTAAACCAAGTTTTTAAGGGCTCCACGCAACGACCCATCGTCAACCACTGCTAATGGCTTGGGTGTTGTTCTATTACAGATACAAGAATTATTTTATTGCACTCACAATAGAGAATTTCATTTCTTTTTTTTTTTAATTTCTATTTGCTAAAATTCCTTATCTATAGTCACCATTTTCTACGGTCTATGAGCTGATATCATAGTAGTAGAATAGCCACACACAAGGCGAGTTTGAAGATATCCATTAATTGAAACGCTATTGGAAAAAATTGGCAATTATTAGAAAAATAATTAACTCGTTTTGAATCGTTTAGATTGAAAACATTAATAGTAACCTTGACATTTGAAAAAAAGTGAAACAAATTGTTTGCAAGCACATTCTCTCGGCAAAGTATCACGTTTTCTGCTCATAATTGCCCTAGTTCATTATGACGTCACATCAAAACATTCTATTGTTTTAACGCTAAGGATTATGGTCGCCAGAAGGGACCAGAGTGACTGCATATCAAATAAAATGTACATGAACAATCATTTATACATGATAWATATCAAAACACGATTCATTGAAGTTCTACTTTAGTAGACAATATAAATGGGTCCAAATTTCTACTGTTTTTGAGCATCGTTTTCCGATGTAAACATACTGTGACGTCATAATGAAATAGGGCAATTGCTGATTCAGATACTAATTTCATATTTCAATTAAATTTAAGGGGGCAATTTCAAGAATTAACGTTACGTTTCAGCTATTTTGAAATACGTTGGCCACTGAAACTGTATAKCGTGTTCCAAAACCGAAATGCTGATCGTTGCTATTAGATCCCACATTACAAAAATGTCATATGCTAACTAAATTACTTCCAATGGAGATCTTTACTGTACGGAGATGCTGGCTTAGTCACCCTGAAAAACGCGAAAAACTCATTTGTGGAAATGACTTTATAAAATGATTTACATCATATTTACATCAAATTTACAACCTTTAAAGAGAGCGATTTTTCCAGTGTTACATCCAACAATGCATTTCAGTCTTACACTATGAAGTATGAGTCAAGTATCGTAGCATTCAGTTGTCAATAGTTTTTTTAAATAGCTGTACACATTAAAAGTCATTCTAAAAATATATATTTACTGTCAAGTWTTGAAAGGCGTTTAATTTACACTTTGTCAAAACCTCTTGTAAGTAATTTTACCCTATTTTTTAATTATATTCTTTAATATAGGCTATGGCAATATAAAAACATGCTGAAGAAAACCAATATCACATCAATCATGATAATAGGTTGTATATCTAGAAGGTTATATGGTGCCCTTGATCTGAATAAAACTACAGTATCCGGCTTGCAAAGAAACAAGCCTGATATGATGATATTTTATAAACACTAGACTGTGTGTCTAGTGCATTTAAAAACAGGAGTGCATTTATATTAAACACGAATATATTGATAAAGAACAAGTAACAAAACACAGTATGAGCTGAAAGACTAAAAGTATGAGWACAAGAGATAATGTATTGTAGCAGAAAGAAGCGCCCAAGGACCGCACTTAAATATACAATGATAATAGGGAAGAGAGAGAAAATGGAGAGAAAAAAGGGAATGGAAGAAAAGAATTGAAAAAGAGGATAAAATGAGATGACATTGATGCACTGTTAAATACTGGCTCGGAAAATCAGACACTTTGAGTTTAATAGAAAAGTTATAATAAAAATACAATGATTATAGGAAAGGGAGAGAAAATAGAAGAAAAAAAAAAGAGAATGGAAGAAGATTCAAGGAATTGAAAAAGAGGATAAAAAGAGCGGACACTGATGCACTCTTAAATACTGGCTCGGGAAATCAGACACTTTGAGATTAAAAGAAAAATTCAAACTAAAAAAACAATGATCGAAAGGAAGAAATAGAAAAATGGAGAGACAAATAAGAGAATGGAAGAAGGAATGGAAAAGAGACGTTTTTAGATAACTGAAAAAGCGATACTTAGCTAGACATACAATGCTTAAGGAAAAAAACAGATGAATGGAGAAACAATGAAAAAAGACATTAAAGAGCCGAAAAAGATGCACTGCAAAAATATCTCTGAAAATCAGACATTATGAGACGCTTTCAATTTCATTCCTCTCATATTAAAACGGAAATTTACTTTTAATGTTAAAACATTTCGATTTACAACCGAACCTCAACGACGCGGTCACCCCTTGGGATAAACAAGCCGACCGCTTAACATAGCTCAAGTTACGGCAAATAAATACAAGTCGTGAATATTGAGGAATAGTACATAAACATTAATACCAATCATCAAATCTATGAGATAAAATATATTGACCATGTTTCCCATGGAGTTTTTTATTAAACCTTTTAATTTATCGCATTCAAAAGGAAATCATCAAAATGACTTCAGAAAGATCACTTTGCTAAAACGTTTATATTGTAAAAGGTGGAATAAGGCGGAAATGTAAGACATATTTAGATTATTTTAAGATACATACATTCATTAGTCTTTCATTCTTTCTATCTACACCATGAATAACTGATTTTAATCGATATTATTAGTAGTATCTCGACTATAAATCTATGAATYATTAATAATAAATGTTAGAATCATATCTAATGGTATTTACCAAGTGTCTTTCCAATGTTGACTGAGAACAATAAACTGCATTTCAGTCAGTTTGTCTGACGAGGAACAAATCATTCACAAACTTGCAAATCGCTAAAATTGCAGAAGAACATTTGGATTTGAGGACAAAACCGGTGTAGAACTCGCCTATTCAGTGCAGATGCAATAAGGGCATAGCAACGATTTGGCATTTTTACGGCCACATAAGATGAATGTTCGCAGTTGCTCGGATTTTACTGATGACGTAACAAAGAACCAGCAGTGGTGTAATAGAATATCCCGGATCAAGTTATTGATGACGAAACAAAGAACCACTGATGACGCAATCCACTATCCCGGATCACGTTATTAATGACGTAACAAAGATCCACTGATGACATAATCGACTATCCCGGATTATGTTATTGATGACGTAACAAAGAACCAGCAATGATGTAATAGAATATCCCGGATTATGTTATTGATGACGTAACAAAGAACCAGCAATGATGTAATAGAATATCCCGGATTATGTTATTGATGACGTAACAAAGAACCAGCAATGATGTAATAGAATATCCCGGATCATGTTATTGGTGACGTAACAAAGAACCAGTGATTACGTAATCGACTATCCCGGATTATGTTATTGATGACGTAACAATGAACCAGCAATGACGTAATCGACTATCCCGGATCAAGTTATAGATGACGTAACAAAGAAACAGCAATGATGTAGTTAACTATCCCGGATTATGTTANCTTTCAACGTGTAGTAATGATATATTAAACAACTTATAATCTAAGGCGTTGCAATAGCCACCTCCTTTTTCATAAGACGAAAGATTCCCACACGCTGCGCACTATTGACTTAAAATCTCCGATTCACTTACGAGTTCGCACCGAAGTTGGTCGTCTTATCGTCGATACATCGGCTCCCAGTAATCGCGTGACATCATCTAGCGAACTTAATCCGCCGCCGTAAAGGATTTGCTCTACTAGTTTACAACTTAGGGGTGTAAAGGCTCCACTGAAAACGTACGCCATGTGGGATGGATTYCTGAGGTCGATGTTTTCTACTACTCGAGGGACCTTTGRAACAGAATACAAAGTTCACAAGYAAGTRCATTGATTCGGGGCTTATAGAAATCCGTCCCTAAAAAGCCGTTTTTATGTTTTCTTTATAAAAATGGCACAACAAGTCGCTTCCATCTTTAGTAGGAAGAAGCAAAAACGGTTAAGGAAAGCTAATTTAGCGGACATGGAAAAGAGTGAAGACTTATGCACAACTCATATCATGCTTTTTTGCACAAAATGGGATCGCTGCACATTTCTTATGGTAAATAAACAAGTGAAGTACGTGACAAGTGCAAAATATTAAAAATAATAATTACCAGCGTAAGTCTTTTGCTGACATTTTTATATACATTTTTCTTCTGCAAAAAAGGACAAAATTACTGTTAAATAATTATGACGATAATAGCAATAATAACAAATGTAAGCCATTTCGACTATATTAGGATTTAAGTTCAGTTCCAGTCCAAAATCCTGTCTCCTYTCCTTTAAACTYGTTTTTCTTTTCGATGTCCATACTAGTTTGCGACTCGTAAGCCRGGATGCCAAGCAAAACACATGCAGCCCAACTCTTGGCAARCTTAAGTTTGTATTTTATATTGTGCTTTATTCCAATATAAATATGATTGTGACAAAAATAACGAAAGCAGAACAAGAAAAGAAGGGTGGGCTTCCGGAGGGCTGGGTGAGAAAAAAAATACTGGAAGAGTTGTCTACAGTGAATGCTAGGTCCTTACATTACTTACATCTGATTCTGTGAACAATCCTAGWCGTTTTAAGTTTGAAAATGTTACTAAGTGCTCGTAGCCATAACTCTACAAAACAGAACAAAAACCCTTGTTACAGAAGCAAACAATGGATATGAGAATACTCACTCTCTGATTGGCTAAAATACCTCTAGATATAGGCTATAAGTACTGTATGTACACCAAACAATGGAATATCACAAATACAGCAATCTGATTGGTTATTGAACAATGGTCTATTCGTGTTAGACCATAGAGAATAGCGAAAAAAAGGCGAATAAAAGTTCACAGAATATATTTTCAGATCATATTTCAGATCATTTCAGATTTTCAGACAGTTTTGTGGATACTAAAACAGTTAGACCACTCGCTCTTATGTACAAGAATTTTATAGTAGCCGAGTGCGCCCTCGTGGACACCAAGTCGTATTCCACTCGACCGTGCCTCGTGTTACTAATWGTCAAATACTACGTATGAAGAGAAAATGGCATGTTTATTTGGATATCTAAAGAGCGAATCAAAGTTAGTTCACGTTACTTCAAAACGAGCGTTTATGGATGCTACGCTATCTTACCTGTAAGAACTGTGATTTCAACGATCTGTATAATTTAGGATCAAGTCCTGAAATATTAAGGATAGTACATCAMAAAATAAATAGCCGACCAACCAACCAAACAACTCATCACTGAATAAATCCATCCTTCATCCATCAGCCTGTCAAACAAACTATATGACATAGAAAAGAAGGAAAGTTATAGTGCTTAGAAGRACGTAATTTCGGGAGACTGACCCTTGGAAATAAATTCGTAAAAATCAATTTCCGACCACGCTGTCATCTATAACARCAACTGAGGTTTGAAAAGTCTACGATCTTTTTCAATGGTTCAATGCCAGAAGTTTATACCATACTTTTGACATACAGAATTTTTAGTCCTTCACTTTAATAATAACCTACCTCCATGTGTAAGAGACAGTAGGCAGAGAAGTCGTAAAGTGTTTATACTGGAAAACTGAGAATAGAAAGACAGTACAGCAAATTTGGTCACAGATTCGTAACAAGGGATTTTATGGGGGATAGGGAGGGTGTGTGTGAAAGTGGGGAGGGCAATTTCAYAATCCGCCATTTTGTACATATTATTTGAATGCCAAACTAAAAAGAGAGAAAGAAAAGAAAAGAAAAAAATTGCTGCAGAACATCGACATTTTACTTTGGTTATTCATCCAAAGATTTTTTAAAACTTTTTGCAAACTTCAGACCTGGAATTTGACAMTGTTTTTGATTAAAAATGTCCAATTCCTCTTAGTAAGTCTTCCCACTCCCCACTTTCCTGGAGTTAATCCATTTTTTACCTGTCTCATGATAGCTTCTTCAATAAATTCAAGAGAGTCTTTGGTGTCAGCAAGTTCAAGTATATCTAAATGTACCAAAACAAATGTCACAATGTTTCCAAGGATTTCCTGGGAATTTGGTTGATACAGGATTGCATTTTACCACAGGAAGCCCAATACCATTAAGCAATAAAATTTATTAATCTCAGAAAAAGGGCTAGTCAGCACCAATCGGAACTGGGCTCATGATAGGTTGAGAAAACAATGGACAAACAATAGAGAAGTCTTCCAATAATAAAACAAAACCTAACATAACAATAGAGCTGCTGTACTAAGCAGCAATCAAAAATCAGGTTTTAATTGGTGCTATATTACTAAAAAACAATATTTTGAACTTAGAGTTGACATCCTTAATCTGCCCTAATGGATCCACACTTTTAGGGAGGAGTAAAAGAGACTATCTGATAATCACTCGTCATCCGGTCAATTTGTTTCGAAGTCAATTCGCTACCAGTCAATTCGCTACCAGTCAATTCGCTACCAGTCAATTCGCTACCAGTCAATTCGCTACCAGTCAATT